AACCCTGCATTTTATTAAATTCACAGTTTGCTTACTAAACAGTTTGTCCCTTTTTTTCTTGCTTTACACATTAATCAAGTGAGTTAGAGTCAGAGATTAGATCAACGACGGATTCCAGCTAAAGCTGGGAAAAGTAAAGTTATTGGTATAGTTTCGGAAGAATTATTTTAACAACATTGGGGTTTAGTTTAATATGGTGCATGTATCTTCTGTATATTGTGTTGATTAAACCAAATAAGAATATAATATTTGTATTGTATCATTGTTAATGACAAAAAAACTAATTTCTGATAAACCTCTTAGTGGAAGTTGAAACACATTATTTATATAAAATCATGTTTTAAGTCAATGAGACTTTGAACGTTATATAATAAATATAACAGTTTAAATTTTCTTAATCAGAATCAGCTTCATTCACCAACTCTGTGCTCATAAATGAGGATTTTGACTTTTCTTAATATTAATTAAACATATAAAGACAGGAGACAAAAACTATATTTTTGTTGTGGATCTTTTTCTGCAATGTTTTTACAAAAGAGCAAAATAAGGTTGACAAAGTTTCCAAAGATTATAAATGAACTGAAAGCTCCTCCTTTGGTGGTTTGATATCATCTGTTCATCTTCTGAGGGGTTTTTGTTCGGCTCTGCAGCTGGTTTGTGTCACTGTGAGTCTCTGGCACAGTAATACACAGCAGAGTCTCCAGGCTGCATATTCTGTCCATTCAGAGTCACTGTGTTACTGGAAGTATCTAAGTCGATACTGAATGTGTTCCTTAGTGAATCTTTGTAGCTAGAACCTCCAGTATATTTCCACCCAATCCACTCCAGTCCTTTCCCAGCAGGCTGTCTGATCCAAGCTGTTGCATAGCTGCTCATAGAATAAGAGACCTGACATGTGATGGTCAGACGTTGACCTGGCTGCAAAGTCTCAGAGGCTGGTTGTGTCAGCTGTTCACACTTTATACCTGTAGAGAAACACATTAAAAGTGTATCGTTACCAACAACTAATTCAATTTACTGTCATCATGCTGTAAATGTCTTTGTCTCAGTGAGACTCACAGGATGCAGCAGCCAGCAGCAGCAGCAGAGCTACAGAGAGCATGATGATGATGATGATGATGATCTGATGGGAGTTTCTCCTCCTCTGCAGCTGACAGCGTCAGATCAACACTTTATAACATGATTCTTTTCATTTGCATAATACCAAACCAGCCCCACAAGAATCACACGATCAAAAAACTTTTTATGTGCTGTGGACCAGCATTAAGAAATAATATGTGTCTAATAAGTATATGTTCCTTAAATTAATTATGTGTTTTCATTATTTGAAA